ACATGCTACATTCATTCTTTTATGGGTGGACAGGAGAGACATGAAACCTGCCATGGTCTCATCAACCCAGACCTAGAAAGGAGGTGCTCCAAAGCACGTGGAGATGAGGTACTTGAAGTGAGATTCTAATTTGATGAGGCTGTGTAAGGCAATTCTGAAAGAAATTTCTGTCTATTTGTTAAAAAATGATGTGACCTTGGTGGGGTTGTTGCATTCATCACCCTGCTCATTGACAGGGGCATGTACTAGTACAAATATAAATTGTGACCTGAGAGGGCTACAAGTCTAATGGCTAAAAGTTAGCCCAAATTCAGTATAAGCTGAATCACACTTGATTAACTCAGTATATAAACCTAAAATAACTACAAGCAAACAAGTAGCCTTATTCTGGATTCCCTAACATTACCAAAGCCAAAATCTGAGCTGTATATTTAGCTATATAGTATAGTTAGTATAACTATATATCAGTACATACAATTGTATAGCTTAAATATTGCATCCATATTTTTCCTATCTTTAAAATATATGCCATCAACAGAAAGGTTCAATCACTTGGTAAATGCAAAACACTGTGTGATCGTCTCACTTAATGGCATAAGCTATCTAATTCTGTAGCATATCAGTTCTCATTGTTTATTAGTAAATGAAGTACTGTTTGTGTCAGAGACCTATAATAGCCTGGGTTACTGTAATCACCTCCAAGCAGAGCTACCCTTGAAGCTTGCTGAGACATTTTAGAAGGCAGAATGCAACCATAGCGCAGCAGTGCGGCATGAGCAAAAGATTCGTGTTGTGGAAATTGTGGTAAATTATAAGTCTTTTTTACTTCCTGTCTTATAGTAAATCTTAGAGAAACAATTTGAGTGCTTTAGGAGAGCTGGAGTGCATTGGGAGTTTTATGTAGTCTCCTGACTGATTTTGATTACAAACCTTGTTAGTTCTTCCAATTGAAAGAAAAGTTACTGTAAGCATAAATAATCCAGTTAACAAATTATAGATATATTGGAGGTATGGGAGAATAATGTTGTCATTAGACTCAAGTGGAATATTTTCTCACTTACTGCAAACTTCAAGAACTTGTTAAATTTTAAAACATGTTGAATTCAAAGGTGCCTACAATTGTTTTTCCAAGCGTATTTGTTAAATATTGATTAGGTGCTTTTTTATCTCTTGAGGTTGAAGGAGGCTTATTGCCAGTATCTGTTTACATAATGATCTTGGGCTAATCTGATCTGTATTCAAAGAAATATTCTGAGAGAACTTGTCATGGTGACTTTAAGTATATGCAGTGTAAAAATAATCACTGTTAAAAGTTTTTCTTTACATATTCATTAGCTCATCTTTAATAGAGGAGAAAGATAGGTCGTGGTGGTTCTGAGGGGAAGGAAATTCACTTCAGGCAATTGCAACAAATTCGCCATTGGCCAGAGGAGGGAGCAATGCAGCCGCGCTGGCTGTGAGATTGATGTTTCAGCCTCAACTGAAACGTTATAGCTGCTCTGGCAATATGTTTTTGTGCCATTAAACCTTGATTAATCCAATAATGAGAACAGTAGGCTATATTTTACTCTATCTCCTTTAAAGACAACACTCATGAATTCAGTAGGGATGCATAAGTATTAAAGCTAATAAAAGTTGGGGCACACCCAAGCTCGTAGCTAAAAATTTGATGGTGCACTGGGGATGCCTGACGCTCCCTGTGTTGCAGCAAAGCTTAAGAAATAAATTTGCATGCGCTAGGAGCTTTGTTTATTGTCGGTTGTAAATAGTGCACCACGAACATTAGCGAGATTTAAAATCAGGCACAAGTACAAAGCAGAAAAAAACACGGACTTTTCTTCAATTATATCTTAGCTTCCAGGCAACATAAAGATAATGAGCAAGTTCTGTGAGTATCGATATAGCCAAGGGAGTAATATTGGTATAACATTGAGAGAAAAGCTTCTAAAAATGCTAATCTACTCCTGTTTCTTAATTGGCGAAGAGGAAAGCTGGTGGATCAAAATTACCATGCAATCAACTTTGTGTTTATGTCAGAATTCACTATTGTCTATTAGCACTGCTGCTAGTTGATCATAATTAATGATAGGAAGGACAAAATTGCATTACTTAAAATGGCGGAAATAATATGACTGTGGAAGGGAGGAGCTGGCTGGGGGTGGGATAAAACAAGGAAAACCAGAACCAGGAAGGGGAAGAGCATCGATCTTCCAAAGTAATTAAATGTTATGTATTTCCTTGGCTGTCATTCCATATATCTTTAAAGATGCAGAAAATATCATGGTTTTGTTCCCTGTTCATATTAATATCTCTGCCTATAGAAATTGGGACTGTGCTAAAGCAGTTTTTTCTGTTGCGAACTACTTTGGGTTCCAAGCAGTTGCTTTGGTTGTTACCTACAGTCAGTGTTGTCTGTTCAGGAGTATAAAAAGTAGCAGAGATCTTTCTTCCGTATCCAGTAGGTGTGTGCTTGAAATAGGTTGGCTACAGCTGGAGTAAGATGCTTCGTTTTCTTCTGAAGACATATGTCTAAGTGACACCAATATAAATGTATTGCAGAATTGATAGAGTTGCTGGGAAATGGCGCGTGCGTAGCTAGGCTGAAGGGCCGGCTCATCACCAATAGAAGTTTGGCAGGGATGATACTGGTTTGAGGATTCTGCTCCCAAAGCAGCCCTAACCCTGTTGGATACTCTCTCTTGTTTTAATGTTCCAGACACCATGGTCTCTGTATGGGCTGTTCTGCAGCTTGAGACCCACCTCAGTCACCTCCTTTATTCCTTTCATCTTGGCATTCTTGTTATCCCCAGATCTCCCTCTCCTCCTTGGCATTTCACCCTCTCACCTGTTCCTAAGCCATGGAGCCTATGGCTAGCACAGGGGCTACTAGCACAGCCACCCACAGGAGACTGCTGCTCCTTTAACTACTTATTAACCCTTTGTAACCCTGTGGCCCTGTTCAAATCTCTGACGCTAGCCCCCATGCTAGCAGAAGCCACAGTACTTTGATCTGCTGAAATGCTATTATGAAATAGTATGAAAACAAGACGTGGTGCTGACAATGGCTCAGTCCTATGAACTGTATTGACTCAGGTGAAACTGCATTTTTTTTTTAGCAAGGCACCACTCCAAAGAAAACATTTTGGCTTGTTCTTTCTTATGGTGACAGACTTTCATCTTAAATGGTAAAGGGCAAGAGTGTATTTTTAGACCCACTTTCCTCCCTTCTGAGCGTGCTCAAGGGCTGTTTGAACTGATCACTTAATATAATTGTCTCTCTTTGGTTTGATGTCAGGGAAGGGGGATGGGAGAATAATGGCTACCTCTGCAGGTGATAAAACATACACTGATGTATTTCAGAAAAACTCAACCACTTTCAGCGTAGGAGGGCTGTGATACACACTAAGAAGCCTGTCCTACTACTTTAGTATGCAATCTCATAGGTCTTTAAAATTAATTTCAAAGTGTTTATTTGCATCATTGCTGAAACATTGTTTCCATTCTAATCTATTAACTAGTGCAGTTGCTGAAGCTTATGCAGCCTGGTTTCTCAGTAGTCCTTGGCCACGCTGTTTTCTGCATCTGTGGAGCATTGTTAGAGCAAATGGAGAAGTGGCAGCTGTTTGCATCAATAAGGCTAATGAAATGCAGAGCACATTTGCATATTCAGGTATTTCACCAATCTCCACAGCACGGAGCAGGCCAAATTCAGCCAAGTGCAGCTTCTAGGAAGTAGCTGTGGCATCCAAGGAAGTCTGATTTTTGGTGTAAATGTGGTTGCATTTATATACCAAGCATGAGCTGATTGTAAGAGGAGCACAGGTGGATATAGATTGTTGTGGTACCAAGTCATGCATGCATTTAAGATGTGGCATGTAAGAAGTAAGTAGTCAATATAAGGGTGTTGGCAGCAAGAAAAACCACCAGTGAAAGAAATGATGAAGCAGCCCTTTCCTAACCCTTCACCCAATTTAATTTATACAATCTGCCATGCTCTCAGCTTTAAGGCTGGATTGAAGCCCCAGATTCAGTGCTGGGATAAACTGAATTCCACGGGAGTAGTGCCCATTCGCACAAAGGCAGAGTTTGTTCCTGTAGAATAATGATGTGCCTTGCCGCTGATAATTTTGCCACTTGAATGCCAAGTTGCAGTCCAGAGACACTTGCTTAATAGTCCAGCTTCACTCGGTGTAAAACTGGCACCTCCAAGAGTTGTTCTGCTCTGGCCAGTTTGGTACATCATTGCAAGTTTTTTGAAAAGGGACTGCCTTCAGCGTTTTGCCTGGATCATTTCCCAGTCATACAGTGCTCCCTAGCAGATGGCTACATCCCTCTCCGCCACAGTCAGCAGCGGCTTCCTTCCTATACCCATCAGTGAAACTTGCAGAGTTGTCACCGTCCTGTGTGTCTATTGCTGAGACACTGACGTCAGTGGGAGCCCGCACAGCCGTGTGGATCTGCCTGCGTCAGTCAGAGGTGCTGAGGATCAGGGCTTAATCATAGCAGGCAATCAGTAGCACCAACACTGAGACTCAATCTGTCAGAACGATTTAGCCTTGGATGGTTTTATTTAATTTTTTTAAAAGCTTTTCTTATTCAGCCAAGCCCACTGTTTCCTACCTTCTTCCCTCTTTGGCCTGAATTTCATGGGTTCAGTTTGCCTGTTTGTTCTGCCTAAGTGGGGCAGCTGCATCCAGTGCATTTTTGCCTATTCAGGGCTTTTCTTCTTTTTGGTTCAACCTTCATTTGACAAGTGATTTTTGGGAACCATAGATGTGAGTGTATGTTTGCTTGTTTATTTTATGTATGCGACAGAACACTTATATAAGTTTACTGATCCTAAAGAAGATAACTGCCCCTGACATTTTATATTTCCTGGCTAGTTGGGTTTCTGGAAAAACTTTGGAGAGCATTGACATGAAAGTGACAGGAGCAATTCCTGTTATTCTTTTCCCCTTGAGCTCTCCCCAGTAAAAGAACATCACTGCTTTGTTTTTCAGGTTGATGGCTTCCTGACACTTCTCTTTGGCCTGGCTAGCATTAACACCCTTACAGTAATCAGTGTGACTCGCTACATCAAGGGCTGCCATCCTGAGAGAGGTAAGAAATAAAGGCAGGTACAGCTCTGCCTTCACTGAACCCAGTGCAAAACTTTTCTTTCAGTTGCAGGCTGAAGTTGATAATTTATATCAAATATAAATTAGATGCATTGGAAACCAGAACACAAAGTAGTCATTTACATTACAAACATGTTTGAATAGGGTTTCAGGGTTAACCCCAATAAAAGCCAAATTATTACTAGTACACTTTGGTCACCATGGGTTAAATTCCCCTTTGTGCCAAAGACACCACAGGTCCTGCTGACCCTCTGTGTTCTTCAAAATGCAACTTAAATGGCTCCCAAGTGATGCGTGTCTGGATCACACTGTAAGCAACAAATTACATCTTCTATGAGATGATTTTTGGGAAGTTTCCAGTCACTAATAAGATCCTTGGTTCAGAAAGCTGTCCTACATACAAATATTTTCACTCTTCTGGGTGTTTTGCCAGGGTTTGCACACAGCAGGCATCAAGGACTGGTTTAGATGGCACTGGGAACATTCAGTTTGCACATCTTGCCTCCAGCTTTTGTAGCACTGCGCAGCCTCCCATCCCCACATGCCTCTCCGGCCTCCCCTCCCTGGACAGTTTCACACCACAGGAGATTAAAATTACTCCTACCATCCCCAGACATTACTATGACCTGACTCTGCCCAGATAGTCCCTGTCCCCTGCTTGTGTCCCAGATCTGCAAAGCATCATCACCACAGCCTCACACTCACACTTCTTCCTTCTCTATTGCCCTGTTGATCTGTAACTGAATATCTCAAACAACCACTCCTCATTACTCTCTCCAGTGCTAGAAACCTTTTAATAACCGCTCCCTGTTTTTTTGAATTTCATTTTTATTAACCTTTGGTATAAATGCCTCTCTAAAGGCATATGAGTGTTACACCGTAGAAATCTGGTCTGAAATCCTTTACGTGTTTCCTGCTCTGTGAAACCCTCATCAGCAAGTCTGTATCTACTTGCCATCATCTGCCCCTTTTCCTTTATGCCTCTTTACATCACCACACTCACCCCAGGCACTCCCTTTCCCAGGAGCAGTAGAAACCTTTCCTTACCGTTCATCCTGGATCTCCTGCCTACTGAAAACTTTGACTTCCAGTGAGAACCTTATGTACTCTCTCTTCTTTATCCCTATACTTCCCATAAATTCTCCCTAGTCTTCCTTTCACCCATCCTTAGCTAATGTATTATCAATTTTCATGTCTTTGTTGTAACTTGCTTGAATCACCTTACAAGCGGGAACTTCTTAGTGTCCACAGGTAAAGTGTGCACAAATACACTGAATATATCATACGAGTTTTTCTCTCTAATAGCATGAGTAGTGTTAGCTGTGAAAAGAACTTCTGCAGGGTGGTCTTTGTTCCACAGGAAGTTCCTGCAGTTTGTTGTAATGATGTACTTGTTGAAGTTAATTTTCAACACAAACTGCTGTTGGAGCTGCTGGAATTTGGCTGTTATGTATTCTATATCTTATATTCATTGCAAATTATTAAGTCATATTTAAAACCTACATTTCTCTTTTGCAAAGCTATATCACGCCACCTTCTAAGGGCGTGCATAATTTGTGTTTGCCTCTTGAGGAAATCTGAGCAAGTACACAGTACAACTTTACAGAAACGTTGAGGAACAGAGATTGGTGGATGCCTAAGTATTTTCCATGTAAGCGAAGAAATAACCACAAAGTATGGCAACAGCAGAACAGATTAAATAATTTATATTGAATGGCTAATGTTGTTTTAGCATCTAATGTATTTCCTGCTTTTTAACAGGGAAAACCTTGACGTGAATAAGAAAAACCTCTGAATTTAGACATATCTTGTTTGTTTCTATGTGAAGCTTAAAATACAACCAGTTCCTGCTTTTTACAAAATTGCAAAACATGTCTGTTGTAGGATTTGCCAGCTCTGCAGTGCTCAATACACACATTGTCTCCTGCTTAAAAGCCATGCATTTCCACTGTTCACAAATAGTCTTGAACACAAGCCTGACAGATGATTTCAAAATTAAGCTTTTCTTATGAATATGCATTTTTTGGTCTTAATATTTTTTTAAATAGCTGTATTTTCCTTATGAGCTGTTAGTATAGGAGTGCATTTAGATTTCAGAGATATGTTTGCCTTTCTAGATATTACTTTCTGACTAAACCATGCTATTGCAGGTCACTGCATCAGCAACAGCAGTATGACAGTGGCGCTGGTTCTCATTTGGATAGCAGCTTTCTTCTGGTCAGCAGCTCCATTACTTGGCTGGGGCAGTTATACAGGTAACAGGTATCTTTCGGTTGTACTTATTTGGCACCTCTCCACTTAACTGAACAAAGATACTTACATTTCTTTCTTGCTGTTTGTGATAAACAAGGCTGATTATCAGTGGAACTGAGAAAATCATTCATCATGCATGACGTTTGTGCAGAGTGTTGCCCGCTTTGGTATCAGCTATAAAGAGATTTTTTTGAAGATATCTCAGGAAAGACTTGGACCAAGTGCATATTACCTATGAAAAAAGAGAGGCCAGAAATATTTGGCATGATTAAGCAATGAGATAAAGGAAACTATTAAAAGACATCCTTCAAAAACTGTCAAGATTAGGAAGCTAGAAAATAACACAAGTTCCAGCAAGTTAAACCTGAAACTATAATAAGACAAGCCAGAAAGATTTGGTGAAACAGTTTGTTGAAAATATGAAAACTTAACATAGTAAAGGAATAAAAAGATGTCAGGAGTGATTAGGGTGCAAGATAAGGCCATAGCAAAAAAGGAGGCGGGGGGAAGGCAAAAATTTTAGTATGAACACCATGGTAATTCAATGGCTAAGGGATACTCCCACATCAGAAAATTGCTTCCTGGGGAGAAGTTGAAGAAATTGTCTCAAATTAAGTCTCTAAAAATTGAATGAAATTAATCTCTGGGAAAAATGATAATGATACAAGAGTCTTAACAACTGAAATCATGTGACTGAAATTGTCCAGCAGTTATCTGCCTGCATTGTGTAGGCATCTTCATCCTTTGAGAAGTCATTAAATCTAGGAAGCAGCTATGTGAATATATCCTCTTACTGATTGAATACATAAACCTTGAGGTATCTCTGGACCCCTGAAGTGTGGGTGTGAGAAAAGCATACGTTTCCATTCCATCTCTAGTGGGAGGTGTCCCTGCCCATGGCAGGGGGCAGGAACAAGATGATCTTTAAGGTCCGTTCCAACCTAAACCATTCTATGATTGGTTAAACCTATCCTTCCCAAACTAAAATGTTACCAGGATAGTAGGCTCAGTGGATGTTTTGGCTGAGACTGTTTATTAGACTGTTCTAATTTTATGTTATATTTTTGTACTCTGGATATGTCAAAAACCTGGCAGGGTTAGACTGGTCACTTTCGGTTTATCTTCTGGTGATCTGTGTTTTCTTTTTTCATTAATCTTACTAGTTTTCATTTGTAGAAGTGTTTCTGATGCCCTTTTTGGCCTTAAACTGGAGCCAGGGACTTCTTGGGCATCACTGTCTTGTCAGGGCATCCATGTGCCTCCATGGATCCTGTTTGTCCTTTGGATTTAATTCCTTGACAGTGGTCTTCAAGACCACTTTTCCCTACTGAGAGACACAATGGCTTCAGGTTCCTGGGCTATCTGATTCTAAAAACATTTCCATTGAGGACACCTGCGGAGAGGTGGGAGCCCAGAAATGGCAAGTCTGGGAGCAGACAGCCGGTGCCAGCAGACCACAGCACATTACACGTGGCTGACTTGGTCCTCTTGCTTCCACACAGCAGATGCAGGAGTCCCCGGGGCCCTGCTGAGTTTTGGAAATGCTACTTGCTAATGTCTCTGCAGAAAGGGGAAACACATCTCTGAATTCTGACTCACAGAAAATCTACAGGATTTTCTTTTCATGTCATCTGGAAGCTGCTTGCTTTTTTCAGTCAAAAGTTTTCACAATGCAGAAACCTGACATTAAGCCAGATATTATGGTTATATTTTGAATCTTGGGGTCTACTCAAGAAAAACGTGAAGGAGACAAAAATCTGTTTCTATTACTGAACACATCCAGATAGCAACACCTAGAGCTTTTGGTGTTAAAAATACTGAGGTCTTTTTGATGAGAATCATAAAAGAGATTTAAATCTTTTGCTTCTTTAATTCATCCTGTCTAAACCTCCTACCACCTGTGAGGAATTAAGAGAGATTTTTTTCTTCAGAATTATTACTGGATGTCAGAGAGAGATCTGTTGCTAAATCATGCAGTCTTCACCTGTATTGTATCTCCAGGGCTTGTTAATACTTGACTTACATAATTTTGGTTCATGCTTCATTTATTTATAATTCAATTTGCTGCCATAGCTGCCAGAAAAAAATGCTTTTTTCCACCTAAAAAGAAAAATCAATAATTCACAATCTGTACAAAACCTCTAATGCTATTGAACTCAATTTTTATATCAGGATACGTTTGCAAACACATCAGATGGTGTAAAGAAGTCAGCTGTTATTCATAAAAGTATTTAAGCAGAGACTGCACCTTATTCCCACTGCCTTTTCCCTTAAGTACCTGATCAGCAAGTGTCCTTCTGTAAATCCCACTGGCTGCAATCCACCCAGCTTCATTTTTAAGAGCCTCCAGGTCCTTTGTAGTTGCAGCTCTGTACGCTTCCCATTTAATAAAATGTCTCATTATCTAAGTACTTATATGTTTCATCTTCCCATAATCTTTATTATTAGCTATATCAATTTGCTTTCATGGCTCTCAATACAATAAAAATTTAATTGCCTTTTTGTTTCTATTTAAAACCCCTCGCTATTTTTATTTCCTACTTTGCTTTATAAGTAGTGAGTTTTTACATCTGGCATATTGTGTCTTCACAATTGTTTGTTATGCTGTTACGTGCTCATCTTAGGAAGTTAATATGTAGAAGATCATGACATAAGAGTAGTTAACACTCAAAAATCTCAAACCTACTGAATGAATGCCCTTTTTATCTTTCTAATAAAGTATAACAACTTCCTGTTCAGAAATAACAGTTTGTGCATTATGGATGTACACTGGAAATCTTAACTGGACAGCATGGTAATACACATTAAAACTTGATACAGTCTAGCTGGTCTTGAAAAACTGTTTATGTAGGAAATTGATGTCACAACTCATTAAATCAGAACAATCAATCTGTTCTTTAGTGCTTAGAAGAAGAAAAATGCAGCATTTGAACTGAATTTGTTCTAAAAATGCTAACCAACTTATTTTTGCTTTCCAGATCGCATGTATGGCACGTGTGAGATAGACTGGGCAAAAGCCAACTTCTCTACAATCTACAAGTCCTACATTGTCTCCATTTTTATCTGTTGTTTTTTCCTACCTGTGTCAGTCATGGTCTTCTCATATGTGTCAATTATCAATACTGTCAAGCTAAGCCATGCGTTAACAGGACTGGGGGATCCCACAGACAGACAGAGGAGAATGGAGCGGGACGTCACCAGGGTGAGTTTGGGTTTCTCATTGTGTGGGATTTATCTCAATGAAATCTGTCTTTCCAAAAATTGGTCCCGACTAGACTAGAAGAGAACAAAACAAATCAGTCACGTTTTATTTCTCTATAATCTCTAGTGACAGAGTCTGAACTCAGTGAAGAATATGAGGATTGTTTAAAACTCCTACCCCCATTAGTTGGCTAATATTGGTGCTACATCACATGTGAAAAATAATTTAAATATAATTGGAATGGGTTATACCATACAAAAACAAAAGTTTGGTTTGGCATAAATTCTTTTCTTTCAGAAGTTACATTACTTCTGAGCATACACAGAAGTTACAGTGGAGATCTCAATTTACTTACTGTTGATTTAATTCTACCAGAACCCCCCTTAATTCATATAAACATACAGGGGACTGTAGCTATTTTCATTCCTTTAGATGAGGCATTGCTCAAGCACACCACCATGCCAAAATTAGATATATTGCTTCTAGGACTGCCTGGCCCCATCAATGCTAACCGTTTGCTTGCCCGTACTCTGCTGTGAGCCATACCCTCAGGACAATCTGATGTTTCCCTTCCAGCCAAGTGTTTAAGCTGCTTCCCTGATGTGGAATTAAGATTTAAGAATAGTTCTAAGACTATTCTTCTGCTATCTTTTAGGTTTCCATTGTCATTTGCACAGCCTTCATTATTGCGTGGTCACCATATGCTGTCATCTCTATATGGTCTGCCTTTGGTCACCCTGTACCCAATCTTACCAGCATCCTTGCCAGTTTGTTTGCTAAGTCTGCCAGCTTCTACAATCCCATTATCTACTTTGGAATGAGCTCCAAATTTCGGAGGGACATTTTCATCTTGTTCCATTGTGCCAAGGAAGTCAAGGACCCTGTGAAGCTCAAACGTTTCAAAAACCTCAAGCAAAAACAACAGGAGCCTTCTCAGAAAGAAGAGAAGTATGCAGGAGAAACGCACCCTGCACCAAGCCCTGATTCTGGGGTGGGAAGTCCAACCAATACCCCACCTCCAGCAAACAAGGAAGTGTGTTTTGGTATTCTTGATACACCGTCTAATAACCCTGATATTGAATGTGATAGACTGTAAGTTTTGTGGCCACTTAACACACGCACCCGCTTTGTGTTCAGGAAGACTCTCTTCAGATCAGTGCTTGGGTGATTTCCTAATTCCCAGTCCATCTGTTTCTTGCTATAGCAGTGATGACTATACAGCTCAAGCAAATCAGATGGTAAAGTGATATTTTCCTTCTATGTAGGTACAAAAAGCTATGAAGCACATTACATTGTGGGCAGCACAGCCAGTGCCAGAAACATTTGATTTTCACATGAATGCAGGAAACGAAAGACAGACTTGTGAAGAGCAGGCATTAGCTAACAAAAATAACTAATATGTTCCTAACCAATTTTTATTAATTAGGAGATTAAATTTCAAAATACATTTTTTGCTCTTCAGCACTCCCAGCCGCAGAGGATCATTTTTGCTCCGTGGTGCTATAGGAGAAGGTGGGCCCTGCTGAGACAGCCGTGAAGCTGCTGCAGCTCCAGCAGCCAGGAGTCGGTAGGCAAAACTTTGTGCTCCCCAAGGGGTGCCCACCACCTGAGCCCTGTGCCTGCATGGGTGTGTGTCTGATTGCCTGTGCCTGACTCTGCCTGTGTCTATGCAGGTGCTAGGAGTTGTAGATCCTGGCATTTGCTAGTTGCTGTCATCTGAACAGTGGCTTCATACTTGTCCTTGTTGGTCAGCAGAATTATTTCCACCTTCCCCAAAATTCCCAGTGAGCCAGGCCTGGCTGTAGCATTCAGATTCAGGAAAGCTTGCCTTTAATTTTTCTGATCTGTCTCCAAAGTGGTTGTTCTTCTACTGACTATTAATGTGGAGCAAGAGATGTTGTACGGGCAAAGAAACCAAAAATTACACTTAGGTTTTGAGAGTATTGATGAAGTGTGGCATCAGAGCTATTTACAAAATAATCCAACACTTCACTGCTGCTTCTAAAGAAAGTTTTTGTACCTGCCTATGGGTAAAAAATGACTTTTAGGTAAATGTAACTAAGTAGCAATTAAGGATAGTGATTTCAATAGCTAGACTGTAGACTTAAATGAGTAGCAAGTCTATCAGATATTACAATATCCAGTTATTCCACCAAGTTTATTTTACAGATTGAAAGTGAGGAGATATATCTTCATAATTCCCCATCTTGGACATTAACTACCTACCCAGAGACTTCTGCACAAATGTCTCTGTATTAGCTGTGGAAATTGTGGGTTCATTTAGTGCCGTTTACAAATTAAACAAGGGCGAAAAAAAAAAAAGAAGAAAAAAAACCCCAACAGCAATGGTTGCTAACCTCACTGCTACTTATGACTTTTTGCAATCTCACTGTCTGGGTTTGCTAAAATGTAGTTGTTTTGCAAAAGTATACTTTTCCAGATGTGTTTCTTGGGAAAGTTACAAAGAGCATCCGCCTTCATTTCCCCCATTACTCTATTTGTTTTGAGAAAATCACCTGTGTTTTGAAGTTAAAAACAAATAAACATTATAAGCAACAGTGGTGAACTGTGTTTTCTTTCATGGCCCCAGATCTGAACTACAAGAGTATTCATTTTTGTGGAAAATCTTGGGATATGGGTGCTATTTCATTACCATAAATAATTAAAAGCAAATAAGTAAACAGTTTTCTTCCAGATAAAAGTGCATGCCATAGGTGCAGAAACAGATGAAATAATTTAGGGCAAAATCCTGTCCCAGCTGGATGAAGCCAGGCTGGGCTAGCCATACCTAGGGCCCGGTTTTGAAAGCTTCTAAGTGTAACACAAAATCCAGCTTGGTAACCCTGCTGGGCTGAGCCTTCTCACTGCTGAAAGCTTAGGTTTTCCTGCAAAGAAAGAGGAGTGCCATGTATCCCCATTGGATGCGGTTCTTGGAAGTCCCTGCAACCACAGGTGTGCCAGACACCTGCTCATAGAGCCTCCATGGCCATAAATGCCAGACTAGCTTTTAATGTGTATTTCTGTTAATTTAATGCTAAGTAGGGAAAATTCTTGCCCTGCAGTGTCACAGCAGTGCTGCTGGTCTGCAGGATTCAGACTCTGACACAAAATGATGTGAAAAGGGCAAGGGAGAAGGCAGAGCAACAAGACCATTTCCAAAAGTGCCCTCAAAGTCCAGCTGAATTCTCTACTAGTTTATACACCATTGAGCATGTGCACTGAGGTTAGACTGGGGGAAGTGGTGGAAATAGTGAAAATGAACTAGAATAGGAGCAGAGTAGGGGAAAAATATAAGAGGGGAAGAATGAGATAAGCAGGGGAGCAAGAGCCCAGGAGCCAGTGGATGCGTACTTGCTGAGAGACAACTGGAAAGAGCCAACACTGAAAAAGCCTTGACTGGACTGCAGCAGACCTCCCTCCTGAAAGGCTTACAGCTACAGTCCTTTGTGGCTGTATGGTAATACCATGGGACTGCATAGCTGTGGGGCTGAATATCTGGTTTTGCAAGTTACTCAGGGGAAAAGAGGATGGATGCCTTTGCAGGCACCAACCTGTGCTCCAGGTTCGGTAACAGCAAGAGCACATTTGTCGGTGAAATTACTCAGGTTAAAAGCTTCCAGCCCAAAAGCATCAGTGCTCTGCAGCTGTACCCAAGACATCAGCAAGTGGCTGTAGGCAGAAAAAAAGGTCCAGAATCCATTACTGCTCAAGTGCAGGTAAGGGAATGTGCTTCAGCATTTAAAGTGTGCAAATCAACAAAAATAAATTTGTAAAACACTTTCTCTGTGTCCTGCATTTCCTCCCCTTGTCTCTGGTCCACACATGCAAGGACAAGGCTGGCCACAGATGGAATTCTCTGCCTGCTGAGCCCACGCTACCAGTCAGCGAGGAGCGAGGAGCTTGAGACAGTCAGCAAGGGATGAGACTAGATATGCTGAAGGGGGACCATGGGGTCTTTTGCTTTTTACTTAGGGAGAATAAAGTACAGTGCAAACAGCATAGAGAGTCCTGAGGGCACATGTGTATCTAAATCTCATCAGCTCTTTCTGGACTATTTCTTATTATCAATATTATTCATAATTTGCAACATAAGAGTATTACACCATAATCACTGCAGTTATTAATCATAAAGCGCAGTTATTAACACTCACATGTACAACTTGGCCTTGCAGGTAGTTTACCACCATCCTTGTCTCTGACACAACTCTTTCACTTGGGCTACACAGTCCAAGCAATCACATTAACCCACAATTATTTCTGTTCACCATGGAATAGTGAAACGGGAGTTCCCACAATGTTAGCTCTTACCTGTTCTGCCCTTTAAGCATTTACCACGCTAGCAGCAAATAGGCATAGCACATGCATCAGAAGACCAATACCAAGAGTAATCTCCCTGAAGTCCTCCTGCAAAGACAGCATGGATTTGCAAACATCCCCCATTTAGAACCATATGCAATGGGAATTAAGTTAGTAGTGTTAACAATCTATACCTGGGCCAATACTTCTAGCCTCATAGTTAATTTCTCTGAATAAGATGCACACGCTGAAGCTGCTCAATAACCTAAAGACTTTTCCCTAATTCTTCCATCTGCAAAATCTGGAATTGTGCTTCACCTAGCAAGACCAGCAGGCATAGTCAGGTCTAAGGATGCTCAGCATATGGTCTCTCAGCTGTAAAGTCCAAAGGTCTTTAATGAAAATGATCTGCCTCAGGTGCCTCTAATCCTGAAGAATAATCAAAGCAATCAGGCCTTCTGAATAGCAGAATGAACCCAAAGCATGTCTGCCATGAAAACATCAGGTTTATCTTATTTTTTTAATAAGGGATCTTGCACAGTAAGCAAAGTAAAAACTAGCTGTAGTCTGGGCAGCCACAGTCATTAACAGTGTTGAAATTATTTTCTCTATTGAATCACTAACCAAGTTTACTTCATCTCTCATGAATTTAGAGCATTTCACTGACCTACCTAATCTTCAAAGAGCAGAAGGATCATAGGAATCCCCCAACTGACCATTTTCATTCCTTGGGATAAGGACAACGCAGCAAAGCAAGCTTTTCCAAACTTTACAAGAAATCCAGTTCATGCCTGTCAGTCTGTAAATCCCTCTAGTAGCCCAGGTTACAAACAGAGGACAAAAGACCAGACCATTAGGCAACGAGGGGGCACAATTCCAGCCTCTGGCTGCTATTCAAGCCCCTCCTCGACACCTGGACAAACCCAGCAAGGATTAAGTACACTCACTAGGGCTGGGAAACTAGCCTGGTCTGTGTGGCTGGTTTCCCCCTTCAGCACTGCTTTGACTTAGTCACAATTATTTCAGGCTTTGTTAACCAGGCGTGGGTCGACTTGACTTGCTCAACAACAAGCTTAAAAAAAGAAACAAACCAAATCAATGAAAGAAGAGTGTAAAAGCGCTTGGAAAGGGTTGGGAGAGCCAGGAGGAGCAGCCAGCATGTCCCTGGTGGGATGTCTCCCTCCAAACAAGGGCACACAGAGGCCCCTTGTTAGCGTGGCGGGCACAGCAGTGTGGCTGCTCTTTGAACCCCGCAATCCTTGGGACTGTGACATTTCACTGGGACTCAGAAAACCAAGGGGGGGGTGGGACAAAGCCCCATACACCATGCAGACATTCAGGCTTGCAGATAAACAAACTCCAGAGACAAATACTAACATTTGCAACTGCTGCCCAGTTCCGATCCTATGACAACATCTCAGCACGGGCTTATATAGAATTTCTCACAGAGAAATCAACCATCAACCCAGCCTTCGTTAGGCAACAACAAAGAAATGTCAGAAGTGACTTAAGAGTATATGAATAGCCTTGAAATGAGAGTTTGTGCTTAGGCTGAAGGGGGAGAGGGGAGTGGGAAGAGGAAGATTGAGGAGTGTTCACAATTACTCACATTGCATCTGCGGAATATATGTGTAGGGCTATTCATTCGAAATGTTGTTGTTGATAATGGTATTCAGCCGCAAAAATCCTTAAATATCATTTAGAAAGAGAGACAACTCCTTTGCCTGCCTGGAGTGATAAAAATTCAAGGCTTTGGCTCAAATTCCTTGTACCACCACTCCAGTCCTGATGCTCGCCGCGTAAAACCTTGTGATTAAGAAGCCATGTGACCGCAGCAAACCCCACCATCAATGCTATCCTTCAGAAAGGGTCATCACAAACAGTATGCCTTGCAAATCCAGGGCAAAATCCCCCCAGCCCTGAGTAATGCCTCAACTTTGTTGTTTATGGCCATGGCAGTTTCAAGACATGATCAGGTCTGTAAGATTGGCTATTGAGGCACTAAGGAAAATCCAAAATCTTCCCAAACAGCTGTTTGTTCCTGCCAGAACAGCCAGATAAACACCTACATCCTCCATACAGCTTCTCCCCACAGTGCTGAGGGAAAGAGAAATAGAGGGCATCAGAGGGGAAACATTCCCTTTCCCTTCTCCATCATGCCCTTGCTTATGTGTTTATGTCTGTCCCTTGGAGCAGGGGCAGAAAAGGTTACCCCTTTCTATCCTAGAGATGTGGGACAGAAGTCCTATTGCTTTGTAGGCAACAGCAAATTGATTAATAGTAACTCACAAAGATTTCATCCACAGGATCTCAAAATGAGAGCCAGTGACAGAATAGGGAAATGTTCTGTCAGGAACAGACAGGAGGACCAAGTGCTCGGGCACTGCAGGATTAAGTTAGTCCCTCCTAATGAAATTCTTGTGCATAAAACTGTTCTTAGACTTTTTGAAGTTTTGCAGATTAGAAACAATAGCCACACTGAAAGCAGTAAATTATATACTATCCAACAGTTGTTTATGGCATAGAAACTCATGAAACGTGCACACACCACCTCTGCCACCCCACAGATGGGCTCTCTGGGATCACTCTTGGTTCAACCTGTTGATTTCCGTTCTATATAAGTGACAATTTTGCAAATCTCTTCTGAAATACCAGCCCAAGCACTAATGTCTAGTTCCTAGGAACCACATTTTTCATAGCAACTGACTCCATGGAGATGTGCTTGCGCTGTCACTGTTTCCTACAGTGCTGCTAAATTCTTGATACCCCGTTTTCCAAACCCTGCTTGCATGTCATCTTCTGTATGCACCGCTCTTGTAGAAGAGCAGATGTGATGATGGAAAAAGCTGGCACGCAGAGGGCCATACTCACTTTTCTTTTGAAGTCCATTTATCTGTTCTCTTTCATTTCTTGTATCTCCTAGCGGGCATCAGCCTGATTTTATGCCCTGACTGTGACTTTCAGAAAGTCCAGCCCTGGAAATATGAAACAATCTAAACAGGAAGTTTACTCAAAACTTGCCATAACTAGGAAGAGTTGTCTGGCAAACTGCATCCCTCACATTAACACCAATTCCTTTCCCCCACTGCATGTGAAAAGAAACAAACAGAACAACAGACTAAAAGCAAACAATCACTTA